ATGCTGGACAGCCAGACATTCTTCACTATAAATGCAGCTTTACAGCTAGTAAATAATCACATTTGATTTTAAAAAAATATATATTTTGTGACTAAATGCCAGCAAAAAACATTCCCTGGACAGCTCATTATTCCAAAACCACAATAGTGAAAAATGTCCCATTTGTCTATACCAAAACAAAGCTCCCATTGTTCTGCAAATACCGACTCTGGTATCACTGCCTTACTTATGTAACTTAACTAAACCTAACCAAACTGTGACCATTTCACAATGTAAATGTTTTATTATTGTTACCATGAGGACGAAGGTCACCTGACTTTGTCTGACTGCATTTCCAAATACACTAAGATGAAACGCCAGGGAAGGTGTGTATTTTTAGAAAAAACAGCCCTTCTGAGCAGTGGACTTTTGAGATAACGAAATAGGCTTTCGGTTCAGTGGGATTCACATTTTTCAAACTATTGGGGTTTCGGAATAATAGGCTGTCAGAACAATGGGCACTCCTTTCATACCCAGCTATACTTTGTGCTTAGTGCCAATAGACCTTTTTCACAGCAGTACGGTAAACACAGGCGTTACCAGTGATACTCATTTAGGTTCAGTTCCATTTAGTGTAGCAGAGCCTTTCCAGTGAGAACATGCACAATAGCAGCACCCTGACTCTGTTTGACCTGAAAACCTGTGTTTACCCTACTGTTTCTGTAAAAAAGGTCTTAGTCTTGTGAAAACGAAGGAAGACAAAGACTATTAACTTTTTATTTTGTGTATTCAGACCAGGTCCAGGAGGAGCTGAGTAGGGTGATAGGAAGCCGCCAGGTCCGGGTAGAGGACCGGAAAAACCTGCCGTATACTGATGCTGTCATCCATGAGACGCAGAGACTGGCCAACATTGTCCCCATGGCTATTCCTCATAAAACCAGCCGAGACTTAACCTTCCAGGGCTACTTTATCAAAGAGGTTCGGCTCTCACATCTGTTTCAAATGCTGGAAATTTTCATCCAATTCTGAAAACTTGAAAACTTCTGAGGCTTTATATGATAAACCTGCTCTCTTCTTGCTTACAGGGGACTACTGTGTTTCCTCTCCTTACTTCTGTCCTGTATGATGAGAGTGAATGGGAGAGCCCACACACTTTCAACCCTTCCCACTTCCTGGATAAGGAGGGTAAATTTATCAGAAGAGATGCCTTTCTACCCTTTTCTGCAGGTACAACTTTATCAGATTTTTATTTTACAGTTGTAAAGACATGAATCAGTTTTTTTTCCACTTTTTTTTTCAACAACTCTTCGTTTTTACAGGTCGTAGGGTGTGTCTCGGAGAAAGTCTGGCTAAGATGGAGCTCTTCCTCTTCTTCACTTCCCTCCTCCAGCACTTTCGTTTCACTCCTCCACCTGGAGTTATGAAGGATGAACTGGATCTGTCACCGACTGTTGGCTTCACCCTCTCCCCATCACCTCATGAGCTCTGTGCCGTCAGTCGTCAGTGAGGAAGAGAGCTGGAGCATGGCATGATAACTGTCTGTGCCAATGGCATCAATATTGTTTTACTCACCCTCACATATGTAACATACTAAGTTGCCAGCTGATGTACTGTAATGTTTTAAAGTTAACCAAATCCGTAAACTTCAAATTTTGAGAGTGCACGAATAACATATTGGTGGGGTGTGTATATTCAACCTTGTTAACCAGTCTTATGGCTCTTTTTTGCAACAAAAGAATGCAATTTGTATTAGTTTTGTAAGTATTTCCCCATATCTCTATACAGTATGTAATGTAAGGAAGAATGAGTGAGGAATACAAAATTAATAATGATTTATGGTCCAAGATGTCCTTAGTTTTATAGAGTATAGCAATAGATTTTGATATTTTAAGAATTTAATATAGTTATTATGCCGGGCTTTCAGTTTAATTTATGGTCTAACATTACACCCAGGAATTTGTTTTCATAACACTCTCTCTCTAATTTCCTACTTTGGTTAAGCTTGAGTTTTAACCCTCCATTGTTGATTTTTTTATTTCGCAAATAATATGAATTTTGTCTTACTCTAAATTCAATGACCCAGCTTATTGTTTCCACATCAAACCATTTTTTCAAAATTATGCAAAATTCAAGCTTTTCGATATATCATAAGCTTCAACTTACATTCAAGTCTTTATGTGAACAAAACAAGTTAGTGTCCATCCCAGCCAAAAATAACAAATGTAGCAGGCTCTGATTGCTCCTGCAAATATCATTTAGATAAAGAAATGAAAAGTTTGGGTCCGCAAGGACATGACCCTTGGGGTACCCCACAGGTTACCTTTTGAAGCTCTGAATTTTCAGTGTTAACATTTACATACTGGTAACGGTTGTCCAGATAGCTCTTCAGCCAGGAGTATGCTACACCTCTAATACCATAGTTTTCCAGCTTACTCATTAATATCTTGTGGTCTATTGTATCGAAAGCTTTTTTGAGGTCGATAAATACCCCCACAGTGTACTCTTTGCTGTCTATTGATGAAGACATTTTTTCAACCAGTTCCATTATAGCCAGTGTAGTTGATCTATTGGTTCGAAATCCATGCTGTTTCTCACTTAATACATTGTATTTTTCGACAAAATTATGAAGTCTTTTTACAAATATCTTTTCTAAACTCTTAGAAAATTGAGGAAGTAAAGAAACTGGTCTGTAGTTGGAAAACAAATGTCTATCTCCATTTTTATAAATGGGAATAACTTTCGCTATATTCATTTTATAACATAACACTCTGAAAGGGGACAGTCTGCATGACTACTATAACTTTAGATATTTAAAGGTCCAGTGTGTAACATTTTGGAGGATCTATTGGCAGAACTGGAATATAATATTCATAGGTTTGTTTTCATTCACCTGAAAAGAAGAACCACTGTGTGTTTGTTACCTTAGAATGAGTTGTTTTTATCTACACTGGAAGTGGGTCCTCTTCTACGCAGTCTGTCATGTTGAACCACCATGTTTCTATAGTAGCCCAGAACATACAAACGCGGCCACCCTTGTTTCTCCTTTATGGTTGGAAGGGGAGGGTGAAGCGAGGGGGTTGAAATCAGCTATATACCTGCTAAATCCTGCACACTGGTCCATTCTGAATATAAGACTTTTAATTTTAATGGAGTATTTTGACATGAGAGTACTGTTGAGATCCTTTACTTAAGCATAAGTGTACTTAAGATCCTTTACCTTTAAGTAGAGTACCTGAAGGCTTTGTCCATGAGAGTGCAATATGCACTGCTGCACTCACCAGCCTGGCAATCAGCCATAGCAGGGTTTAAGTTAGACACTGTACAATGTGATAATACAGCATATACAGAAAACATCATTGCTGATAAAAAAGCCAGTGATCTGACACTGGAAAAAAAAGATAAACCCACACCAACGTTGTTCGAAGACAGTGGTAAATTTGTGATAAGCCTACGTGTGAGTGCTGCTCATGATACTCAGCATAGTTCCCACGAATCCATGAAAACTTCAAGACAGGCAGTCTTATGAGTGGGGCACAATATGAGCAGACTTTTGAAGAGGTTCACAGCATCAGTTTGATTTCTTTCTATATAGTACGTCCTATGCACTTTACAGAGAAAGCCAATCAAAAGACTTGCAGTGTTGAGTGTGGGTTTGAATGGGGGCCCTTTGTTATCCCTGTTAAACAGCTGGCCCAGCAGACAGCTCTGTGCTCAACTGAGGCTGATTCTGCTTTGGGTTTGTTTTCCCTATCAAAAGGCTGCAGAGAATAGAGCTTTATGGAGAATTGCATTACTCTGCATAATTACAACACATTATGCACCATCATTTGTCATCCTGCGCTAAAAAGCTCATCAGACAAATGTTTGGTCTCTCCGTTGTTACGTCATTTGTAATAATACTGAGTCTCTTTTCAGAGGAGCAACAAAGTCTGTCAAGTCATTTGTAAGGATTTCAGTTGTGTTCACACAAAAAGGCTGTGATGTTTTCACTCTGCAGAGCTACAGCTTAATATTCATGTTATTATACATATAAAGGTACTTGTCATCTTATAGAGATATCTATATTTCTCTGATTTCAAATAAAAATCTGTATAAAGCTTTAGCCTGGATCAGGGGCTGGGTGCATTACACTTGCGCAGTATTTCCAAAGCAGCTCTTTTTTTTTTTAGAACACATTCATTAAATATGATTGTGAGTGTAGCATGTATGAGATTTCTGGCAACACTCTCTCTATGTCATGTTAATATATTCATAAAGCTATTGTATTTAAAGAAACAATTCATTATTTATGGGCCTAAGTATGAGCTGCATCAAGTCAAGTGCTAGGGACTAAAGCTTCTGAAGCTGCCACGTACAGATCCATGCACTTCCTTTTTAATCACACTGCTCTCTTTGGGTTACACTCAACCAGAGATACAGTATCCTGGAGAAAATAAATACAGAAATAGAAAGAAACAATATTGCATGTATGTGATTTGCCTCGATTGACAGGACCACACAGTCTGGCTGCCTTTGAATAATAGCATTTGGTTCCCTTACGCATTCTCGCTGAGCGTGGGTCCAACTAAATGAAGCCCTAAATAACAGTAGCCTTAGCTGCCATTGTTAAATCTGTTGCTCGGTGCCCAAGAGATCCAGTGCTACAGGCCTCAGCTAAATTTGCTGTCTGTAGGACTCAGGGCGGGCGGGAACAGAGAGCAACTCGACCATGGGCTTCTGGGCTTTCCACAACATAGACTACTTCATATGATTTATGTGAATTTTTTCGGGATGAAAATCCCTGTTCACTTAAGAAATGTGAGAACAGTCGGTCCATGGGGTGGAACAGGCTGTCATAGAGGTTTTTTTAGTGCAAGATCAGTGGCACTGTACAGAGAGTTTTGGAGTTATTGAAATTCACTTTTGAACTTGGTTTGTCTTTGCTGCAAACTTGTAGGCTTTTGTATTCCTTTTTAAAAAACTTGATGCAAACACTGAAGTGCCTTTACAGTGAAAATACAGGTTGATAGTTCATCTTGACCATGGAAACAAAGAAATGTCAGCTCAAGGTCTCCTCACTCTGTTCTAGAGCTTTTGAACAAACCACACGTCCTTCAACAGTAAAATATTCTTCTTCTTCCTATTATTATTTCATTCCATTATTCGTTACAATGAGTCCTGAAGGAGCTCAGATTGATGATAAATTCAAACGTACAACATATAACTATTGGAATCCAGCAAAACAATAAATTGTCATAAGTCTGTCCCACTGACATGTTTAAGGCCCTTGAAAAGCTGATTTAAAAAAATAATACTGTATTTCTTTATAGCATTAAATATTCATGACTAAATAAGCAACAATCAATAACAATCAGAGTTAATCTTGAGTTAATGACATTTTTATTTATTGATAATTACTAATAACTTAAACATTTGCTCAGGACAGGAAATCAGGACTGCATAGGTGTGGTTTGGTGAGATTTGAATTGCCAATGACAAACAACCCTACAACAGACCCATTTCACAGCAGCTGACAATGGCTTTGCTAAAAAAGGAAACGTTCTGAATTCATACAAACATGTTGGGAAAATATGAATCTGCAAAAAGATTAAAAAAGGTGGCTAGTAGGTGACAGTGTAACTTTATAACTTGTCCAAAAAAGTGCTCTCTGTTGATGTAGGGGTGGATTGAGTATTTGGTGAATGTAATCAGTGCGAGATCACAGTAATGGTACATGGCCCCCAAAACACTGTTGTCATTGTTGTGTGAATGAAAAGCCAAAAGATGACCGTTTTATACTAAAAAGGGGCTAAATGGAATGGAACCTTAATTAGTATCATTGGTTAAACCCATGTTTACCCTGCTATTTGAATGTCTGTCAGTGTCAATCGCTGCTGTAAAAAAGGTCACTAAACTGTAAAAGTACATGACATCACCTTTTTTCAACTGAGCCCCACCCTCTTCAAACCAGTAGTAAAAACAGAGACAAAAGCACAAATACAGAAATCTCTCAGGTAAAATAATGTAAATAATAAATAATCACTGCTAGACAGTGTTCATTGCCATTAAAGTTATTTATATGAATTCAAACAAGAACAGTTAAATGTCCTAAAATGTTCTCGTTTTATTCCAAAATAACCTATGTTGTAATCACAGATAAGCAGCTCTATGATGTTTTCAACAAACTAAAATGTAATTTGTTCCAATTCATTGGAAGACAACCCAACCCATAAGAGAAACCAGACAATTACGACTTAATTAGATTAATAATTATAATAATAATTAAAGCTGCAAGCAGCGATGAACGGGCCCTCGCACTCCACGCAACTCGGGGCGTGCTGCAGCCACGTCACGTGCCGTCAGAACACGTGCTGTCGTAACACGTTTGGACCACAACATGAAAATTTCACGTAAATCAGATCAAAGTTAGCATGCAGAGCATATTTCCTGTTGCCAGTAGGTGGCACTATCACCATATATGAATCTTGTCACGTAGACGTGTTCAGGGCGGGTCACACACTTTCAGATGTACTGGCCCTTCAATCCCCTACAATGAAACCTTCACCACGTTTGATTCAAAGCCAGTCCCGCCCCGACACAACAATCCCTAACATGACAACCTTATCTCACCGACCCTATCAGTGATCAAGCCGCCACCGACTCGGCCAACAGGACAGTAAGCGCGATGCATAGCGACCTTTGATCCTATCTACCCATCAAAATCTCTTTCATGTTGTAGTCCGCACGGTTACGACGGCAACGTGACGCGGGCCGCAGCTACGCCCCGAGTTGCGTGGAAGTGCGAGGGCCGCCCCCAACGCTGCTTTGAAATTTATATATTAATAATTAACTATTACTATCAATAATAATAATTCATATTAAATTATATTTGACATTCTTATTTTTTAAACACAACAGAGATATTAAAGCTGCAGAGCAGCGTTGGGCGGGCCTCGCACTCCACCCCCCCCCCCCCCCCCCCCCCCCCCCCTCGCATCATCACTCGGGGCGTGCTCGCTTCACATTCTACCGGATCCGCGTCACTTGCCATCGACTAATCACGTGAGTTTCCGCCGATCCACAACATGAATATTTCAAGTAAATTATCTGACCAAAATCGCACCTATGCACGCACAGTTGTATACTTCCCTAGCTATGACAGCTATACCATCGAGACCGCTCGGTCGCGCATTATCAATCTCATATGACTGCAATAATCGTCATTGTAGACCACCACCAGTTTCACGTGGCGGGACCTCGTACTCACCAACGTACAGTGAACCACATTAACATCTGACATAGGACTTCCAATGCTAACACGGAAGTTGTGGAGGACTGTAGTTAACAAATATTATAAATAAACCAAAAAACACCGAACAACAAACAAGAAAAACTAAAAAGCTTACCATGAGTAATTAAACTCCTCACCCACAACAACCAAAACACACACC